AAAATGTTGTCAGATTCATAGATGAAAGAGTAACCTGTAACATACCAAGTAAAGATACCTGCCCAGAATGACATGAAATTGTCACAAGTTACCAGTTACACAAGCGCAGCAATTACTTTAAGAAAAAGAGAAAGTTTATTAAAAACGTATTTGTTACAAAGTGATTTCCTCGCCTCGTTTAAGAGACAGCACTGAAAAATGTTCAGCAAAGCATGAAAGCAGAGAAAAGGATATATCACCTTAAATGGAGCGAGGAAGAAGTGAGAGTCAGTGATTACAATCCTCTGCTTCTGTTGCTATGGAAGGCGAATGTCGATGTATTGTTTACCAGTGCGTGTTCTCTGGCTCAGGCCGATTATGTCAGTGGGTACGTGACAAAGGCAGAAAGGGGTCACATGCACTCTGGCAAGACATCTTGGATGATAGAGGCATCTACAGTAAATTATTCAGAATTGGCATGAGATGTCTGGACAGCCGACCGATTGGACTATACGAAACATGTGATACATTACTTGGCGAGCCACTTTCCAGAAAATCATGAGAAGTAGCATGGATCGAAGTAGAAATGCGACATAAAAGAAAACAAAATCAGACAAAGAAAGTCAGTGAAGTTAAAGAAATAGCAGCAAACGATCCATCAACTGAAGACTTTTATGGGGAGGGCCCTGTCACTCACTTTTATCCAAACAGACCCCAAGAATATGAAGAGTATTGCCTTTATGATTTTGTAGCCAAGGTCACTTACAGTGGCAAAGATAAAAATGGCGAACAATGCTATAGAGAATTACAGAAGGAGCACCTTCCTAATTTTATTGATTTTGATGTCTATAAGGAAAATCAGAGGCACAGTTTCTGTTATGCCATCATTCTCCTTTTCAGGCCATTTAGAAATGAGAATGAATTAGTGAACAATGGCAAAACTATCCAGGAAGCATTTGATCGCCACATTGTTGACCATGACAGGTGTGTTGAAGCAAACGAGAAATTCAGATAATTGTTCAAATGTAGAAAGAAATTAAAAGACATACAAGATGCCAGAGCAGCCAACAGACAAGAGGAAAATGATGTGAAAGACGATGATCCACAAATGATGGGACAGATTAAAGATGGAATGAATGATGTGAGACATAAGGACACTGGATCTAGTCTCACTATACAAGAGAGAGAATCGATGCCAAATAAAGATCAAAAACACATCTTTGATCATGTAAAATCTCATCTCTTGAGCCAAATTGAATACGAAAATAAATTGAAACAAAAAAAGAGCAATCAGAAAGTGTAAAACCATTGCACATGTTTATTAGTGGTGTGGGTGGCACTGGTAAATCTTTTCTTACTTGAGGCAATTAAAGCACTAGTGAAAGGCTTCTGGTCAACACTGACTAAACAGACATGTGCAGTCTGTGCTCCAACAGGTTTAGCAGCTTACAATGTGGGAGGTGTCACAGCACACAGACTATTTCAGCTGCCAATAGAACACGATGGACAGTTTGCCTCATACTTGTCAATACCAAAGGCTAGTCACAAAGTAATGAAAACCGAGCTGCAGGATCTGAAAATGGTAATCATTGATGAAGTGTCCATGGTTTTTAGCCTCACTCTCACTTCTATACACATGAGAATGAATGACATAATCGAATCAGACAAATGGTTTGGTAAGATGTCCTTATTGTTGGTGACATTATTCAATTGCCACCAGTTCATAGCGAGCCAGTGTTTGACAAAGTAACAGCATCCACACTGAATTACAGACTGATAGTATGGGTGCAGTAAATATATGGCGTGATACTGTCACCTATGACGAATTGACTATAAACGAAAGGCAATAAACCGAAAAGAAATTTTCAGAAATGTTGGACAAAGTGAGACGGGGCTTTCCAGACAATTAGACTTTCGCTACACTTTCAGAAAGAGTATTTTTGACGCCCATTGAGAAAAACTTTAAAATATTACAACAGGATGATAATGCCCCAGCTTGCCTCTTTCCAAAAGTAGACATGTGCAAAGAATTTAATGAAACAATGCTGGCTAATCTACCAAGTCCTACCATAAAAATAAGACCCACAAATTTAATTTATGGTACTGGCAACATACATGTACGTAGAAAGAAAGATGATGATGATTTAGGAAAAAAGTTTAAGAAAAAAATACTGGTGGTTTGGAAGCCAAATTAAAATTTTCTGTGGGGGCTAGAGTAATGTTGCGTACTAATGCAAATGTTGAAAAGGGATTAGTAAATGGAGCACTTGGTACAGTGCAGGCCATTTCAGAAACACGCATAACAGTTAAAATTGATAGAATAACTGATCCTTGTGAGACTGAGAGTCATGAGAAAGTTTATGGTAATGAAAAATGTCTTTGTATAGAAGCCTGTTTCCTTTGATATTAAGTTTTGTTGTTACCATACACAAATGCCAGGGACTGTCACTAGATAATCCAATTGACCTGTCTGACATATCTTTAGCGTAGGGATGGCTGACATTGCTCTATCACGAGTAAGAACACTATCTGGTGTCCATTTGACATGTTTCAACCCGAAATCAATGATGATTTCCTCTTGTAGCATAAAAGAAATAAACAGTTTGAGAGAGTTGTACAGGCCAGACCTCCCACAATATGCCATTCCTACAGATTGTGGCAGCAGAAAGCTTACACTTACTGGAACTATTGATGAGCCAGAAGCAAAAAATCAAACAAATATGTCACCACCCAAGGTAGCTCGTGATAACAGAAGTAGGCCATCAGACAGTACGATAAATGATAACGCTAATTGCCCCAAAAAGCCACCTACTGTCATTACTACTAATAATAATAATGACGATAGTGATAACTGTGTGATGATGGGATGAGTACAAGAGCTAGTAACTTAAAATACTATTCTCCCAATGCTCTTACTCAAAAAGCATGGTGTAATGCCCTAAACTTGGGATTTGTTAAATCATAAGACCAAAGTTGGGTAGCCCAACCATAGAATTAACTGTACCCAAAGGATCTACTGATGTAATTGGTCATGGTAGTTGTTTATGTAATGCTCTGCCTTATGCCATTACAGGTTCTGACACTCAGCAATATTTCATCAGATCGGCATTAGGCACATGCCTACAAGGGAACAGCACCTATGTAGTTGGCTGACTCCCTATAATTCAGTGAAAGAATATATTGCTGGAGAAGGTATGGATAAGAAATACACGTGGGAGGGAGATATAGAAATGCTAACAATGGCTGATTTAGTGAATGTTCGCATATTCTCCTATAATGAGTCTGGAAATGAATGGGTACGTTATTCACCACTTACACATAAAGCTGATCCTAATGCACCAGCAAAATACTTAACCCTTATTAACTTGAACCATTATCGTGTAGTTACATCAATAGCAGATAAAAAAATTATTAATACCGATAACAGTGGTGATAAAAATGCATGTGATGATGACGAGAAAAGAAAATAAATAGAGCAAAAAGAATGATAATTAGTGATGCAGCATAATATTCATGGCCGTAGCTTATAACAAATAATATTATGAGACAGTGTTGTAATGGCCATAAATTAAATTGAATTATTAATGAAACAGTGTCGTATTGGCCATACCTTAAATTATTTAAAGAGCAGTGTCATATTGGCCATAGCTTTTAATGAATATAAATGTAATGAGACAGTGTCATATTGGCAATGATTAATCATAATGAGACAGTGTCATATTGGCCGTACTTAATCATAATGAGACAGTGTCATAATGGCCATAACAATTAATGATATTACATGAGTAATGAACTAGACACTGTCACATTGGCCATAACAAATATTAATGATTATACATGAATAATGAACTAGACACTGTCATATTGACCATTATAATCTATGACTAAAAATGAGATAGTTGAGAGACTGTATAACATATCTCTAGATACTGTTCATTGACACCGCAGTATGGCCATCTTTTTCCCCTTCGACACCAGCTTGACCTCATTGTGGTGAAGGGGTGGCAACAATAAGAACTGATTATCCTTACTGGCTAACAAAGCTGTGGGCAATATGTATATTTCATGAAGGTATATCGACTAACTACATTTGAATTGCTTTACATTTCATACTGTTTTAAATGCAGCATTGCTTCATATAAAACTGGAAGTGACTAGTGCTTTGTGGACAATATCAACAGGAGAAGGAAAGTTGAAGTTAGGGTGGATCTTATGGTTCTTATTACTGATCCAATATCACTGACAGGTAGCTATATGTGCTGTATTGTAAAATTACATGATTATATTTCTTTCCTATAGTATGACCATGTATCAACTTGAGAAACATTGCACAAGCACATGAAACAAGCAGAGGACTAAATATTATTAATTGTTTTGTATATACTACAGTGAAAATGCTTAATGTTCCTTTCAATCTTCAATAATAATTATTCTCTTGATTCATTTAGGGGGTGAGGTTACTAGCTGCACATGCTCATTATGGTTTAGCACCTTTTTACCGCCAGAAAAAAATGTTCTGTAGTCAAAAAAGTGTAAATAAGAATGATCTAAAGAGGAGAAAAGTTGTCTTGTTAAGTATAGGGATCACTTGTATTCCTGAGCAAACAGATGCTTCTTGGACATGCAACTAGCATCGCATTAGTCAGGTATACAAGTCATCCAATTTTGTAGCATAAAGAGACACCAAAAAAATAGGATTTCACAGTTCAAACCAAGTCAAAGTTCTAGTGATGTCGGACCAAGACAAGGAAGCAGTGCTAGCTAATGCTGGCTACAGTCCAGAAGATTTGAAGGAGATTGCCGAGTATGAGGAACAACAGCAAGGCAAAATGGCTCCTGGGCCCACATTTGCTTGGACATTCCTCACACTGGTACAAATATTGCAGGACCAAAGCACTCTGGTGACGAAGCTTATTGCTGCACAAGAAAAAATGCAGCAAAAAAAGAAGAGGAGAAAGAAGAAGAAGAACAACAACAAGGACAACAACAGCAACTAAATGCTGAGCGGCAAAGGGCAGATGATGCCGGCAGGCCTCCTACTAGTGGCGAGGGTCAAAGAAGTAGAGGACAAGGAAGAGGAGGACAAAGAATTGGAGGACTATCAAGTAGGGTACAAGGAAGCAGCAGAGGACAAGAAAGTGGTGGACAAGGAAGCAGTGGAGGACAAGGAAGCGGTGGATGATGAGGAAACGGCGGATGACGAGGAAGCGGCGGAGGACGAGGAAGCGGCGGAGGACGAGGAAGCGGCGGAGGACGAGGAAGCGGCGGAGGACGAGGAAGCGGCGGAGGACGAGGAAGCGGCGGAGGACGAGGAAGCGGCGGAGGACGAGGAAGCGGCGGAGGACGAGGAAGCGGCGGAGGACGAGGAAGCGGCGGAGGACGAGGAAGCGGCGGAGGACGAGGAAGCGGCGGAGGACGAGAAAGCGGCGGAGGACGTGGAAGCAGCGGAGGACGAGGAAGAGGCGGAGGACAAGGAAGCGATGGAGGACAAGGAAGCGGGGAGAGCAAGGAAGCTGTGGAGGACAAGGAAGCAGTGGAGTGCAAGGAACTTGAGGACAAGGAAGCAGTGGAGAGCAAGGAACTCGAGGAAGAGGACGGCGAGGACAAGGAGGGCAAGGACAGGAGGAGGAAGAGGTGGGCGAGGAAGAGGACATAAGAACTGGGTCATGGCCACAGTAGCAGATGTTGCTGCAGCAGCAGGCGGCCTCACTACCCATACTACTAATAATGTGAACTTAGAATTAAGACTGAACTACACAACTTCATAGATTATTATCATTGTAAACAAAGGCAACATTGTAATTATTATTATTATCATTACTACATTGAAATTAGAATTTAAAAAATATATGAAGTTCAATTTACTTTTGCAGTACAGCCAACATGATACACTAAAAAAAAGTCAATTAAGTTCATACAAAATTTATTAAATACTGGGGATTTAGCAATCTACGACTACCATTAACAAAAGGAATCTTAAAATATTATTAAAAAATTAATAGAAACAAGTTATTACAAAAATTAAAAATAATATTGATTAGGATTCACTTTGTATCAATTTATCAAAAAAGTAATGGAAACAAGAACTAGTACGATTTCAATCAACAGATTATTCTGAACGACTGACTATACGCATGCGAAAGAAAATACGAAATGAAAATCCTACTCTCGTGATGCAAATTCTACTCTACATTATTAATGCAAATTCTTCTCTACATTATAATGTAATATACATTTTGTTACATAATAACGTTAAAAGTACAATGTAGGATAGAATTTGCGTCACGAGAGTAAGATTTTCATTACGTATATTCTTTGTATGGGTATAGTCAGTCGTTCAGAGTAATCTGTCGTTTGGATTCCTATTAGTTCTTGTTTCCATTACTTTTTTGATGAATTGATACAGAGTGAATCCTACTCAATCTTTTTTTTTAATTTTTGTAATAACTTTACAACTTTAAATAATGTGAGAATAACTCCTCAGATGAAAATTAACCTAAAATAATAAAATTATTGATACAATCACTATCAGTTAAATTTAGCGAAAAGCGGAGTAACCGCATCCCAGGGGTAAATTGAGTTAAAATTTTGTTTTTACAATGTATCACTTTCAAACAAGTTCGTTGCTCGACATAAAATTATAAGAGGCCGAAAGTTTTGAAGCAATAAGCCATGTGAAGAACAGAGACTTAGTATAAAATCACTGAACCAGCTGCCACATCAGTGGTTAATCTTATTACTAAGCTGAATAGGATTAAAGTGAATGGGTTAAAATTTTTATTAAGCAATGCGTACCTTATAACAGCTGCTGAAGATGAGCTCACATAGAGCAACTTCACGGAATTATTTCAGTTGACTCATAAATGACTTTGCTGTATACAAACACTGTAATACAACATATTAAATTACTCAGAAAACATTATCATCAGTACCAGTCCTGGTTAAACAAAAGAGATTTTTTATCTTTAAACTGTTGTTCTTCACTCTATAAAATACTTGTTCATCACATTTATTTTCATTTCTATGCATGTTAACTGGAGGGAATATTTGACAATTAAAATGGTTGTTTTAACCTATAAATGGTTGTTTTAACGTTGAAATAGTTATTTTAACTACTAAGGTATATCGTAAACCACATTTAATGTTAATTAACCATATTTATGGTGTTAAGTAACTTCATTATGGTTAGTTTTATTGCCGGTTATGGCGGAACTTTAAGCGGTGTTAACTACACCTACTCAGACAATTTAAGCCTCAGTCCAGGCCATGGTAGACCACGTGTTTGCAGTCATTTGAGCTGAAGCATTTTAAGCCAGTCTTGCAGTCTTCTGTGCAGTCTTGTGTCTCTGAGCCTTCTAGCCAGTCTTTCTGTTCTTTCTGTTCTGAGGATGACATCCATTCATGGGCCTACTAGTAGCAGTACTGGTGCTGGGATGTCGATAATAACGATCTCTTCCACGGCATGTGGCTTGGGCAGTGCTGGCTCAGGTACTGGTTCTTCTTCCACTAGTACTGCAGTCTCTAGCCATTCCTCACGGCTTATCACTACCAGCAGCACGAGCTCCGAGGCTCCAGAAGCCATCATTCGAATTTTGAACGCTACTGTAGAGTCTGGGATCGAGAGAGGAATTGATTGAGCTCTGTCTTGCCTCCCGTTCCCCTGGAGCTGGCGGGCCACCACTGCCTCCCTCATCTAATGGTTCACGGCCGCCCGGCTCTCATTCTCTCCCAGCCATTCCACCCCTATCAGGTATGTAGTTTTGATATTGCTTGTTCATCTGCTTACCATTGCATGGATTGCTTCAGCATTGCATAAATTACAATCATACATTTGCTTTTCTTATAGGCCAATTACATTACATCACAGACACCTTCCCACCTCAACTGCAGGGGGGCTTGCAGAAAATGCATTTCTGAGCCGGCTATATGTTATTGTTCGCCCACAGCAGGTAGTCCAGGGCCTCATCCTCATGTATTCTTGTTTCATACCTTCCCTCCCCCTCTACTCTCTTTTCTCTCATTTGATCCCTTCCTCTCCCCCTGTCCTCTTCTTTTCTCCCCCCAATTCTCTGTCTACATTTGTGCAGATGCAAGCTCACTCAGGGTCAGCTCAGTAGTGACCAGTGAGGTGGGGCAGCCTTCCAGCCTCTTTGTCATCCGCAGCAGACACCACCCATTCGCTGCCGTTATTCTTAATGGCTGAATTAGGATTCTCTAAGCCTGTGGTCGCATCATACAGCACTACCCACAGCTACGACAGCAGCTATATCACTAGCAATGTCTCTTCCCATTGTCCCTGGCAAGGTGGCTGAGAAGATCAGAAGTGGGGCTACGTTGAGCTCAAAGAGCTGTTAGTCAACAATTACACACTGGTCAAACGGCTTCAAGAAATTGGCCAATCATCTCAGCTCCTTGCCGCTCCCTCGAATATGAGAGATATATCAGATTCCTTGCATGGATCTTTTGTTTTTTATCGCTAATTGCAGTCAAAACAGATCATGAGCCAACTACACAATTAATGGCCTAAGCCCAGATAATTATCAAGCTCTGGTGGAAACATGGGAGCTTGGGCTGGCGCAATTACGATGCCAGATTCCGGCAACAGCTCGCTGCGGGCATCAAACTAGACTGGACAAAGGTTGAACGTCAATACTGGCAACCTCAGTCATTCACCCAGTGGTGTCTCAAGATGCTCTCTGCTCACTTTGCTGGGAAGAAGACCACAGGGATAGCGAATGTGCCCTGGCATCATCAGTCACTGTCATAAGCTGGTACCACCCCCACACGCCCACACCCATACGCCCCCAGAAAAGAACATTGTCGCAAATTTGAAAGGGGCAATTGCAACCATATCAAATGCAAGTTCTTGCATGCTTGCAGTATTTGCTCCAGCTCTGATCATGCAGCCATAAACTGCTCCAAGGCTACATCACCAAAGCCAACTAAGGAGACAGGGAGCAACGCTGCGTAATGAAGATCATGGTAATCAAGGTTCTGCTACACACTATAAGAACCATTTAATCTGCTATTGTGTTTATTCCATTAATTTTGTGTTTTGGTGTTTGCTGCCATTGTTTGGTCTATATGAACTTGTTCTTTTGTTTATGGTAAAGGCATGCTGTGTTTCTTGCTCAGTCATAGCTCAGTTAAGCAATATTTATAATGCAAAGCTTATGCCTAGCTTATTGCATGCTCTCCTAGCTATGTGTAGTACCAAGCTACATTAGCCATTTATTGCCTTTGAGGTCCATATTGCTATGTTTCCCAGCTGCTGAGACTGGAGTCATGCTATACCCAGCCCACCATTCATTCTAATGATGTGTCAGGCCAACTAATGAATGGCTCCCCTTCCTCAACACCATGCCTGACAAGCTTTTGGCAAGTTTTCTTGAGAGGGGCATTTGCTATGGCTTTCGAATTGGGTTCAATCGCAGTTCTCAGTTAAAGTCAGCTACATCTAACATGGGCTCCGTCTTTGAGCAACCAGAAATGGTTAGCATACACATTGCAGAGGAGGTAGCTGCAGGTAGGCTGTTACCTGCCACAGCAATACAGCAGAGCCCAATTGGGATTATTCCCAAAAAGAATAAAGCAAACAAATTCCGCATGATAGTGGACCTATTGTCCCCAATAGTTCAAAGCATTAATGATGGAATCTGCAAAGAAGACTACTCCTTTCACTATGCCTCTGTTACAGACACAGCTCAGAGCATAGTAGCATGTGGGTGTGGAGCATTGATGGCCAAGTTAAATCTAAAAGCGGCATACAGGATGGTACCCGTTCACCCAGAGGACAACCCCCTTCTTGGCATTGAATGGGACAGTACCGTTTAAGTGGACCATGCACTCTCATTTGACCTCCGGTCAGCTCCCATCATTTTCTCAGCGGAGGATGATGGCCTTGCATGGGCTTTTATTCGAGTGTGGGGTGGAATAATACTCCCTCCACTACCTCGGCAACTTTTTCTTTTGTGGTCACCTAAATTTCTCCTGCTGTCAGGAGGTTCTGGCCAAAGCTACCACACTCTTTACCAGGCTGGGCCTTCCAATAGCCCCTGAGAAGGTGAAGGGCCCAAATACAGTCCTCACCTTTCATGGGATTCAATTAGACTCAATAAATATGTCACTCTCCCTCACAGCAGACAAGCTCATAGCCCTTAAGAAACTCCTGAGTTCCAGCTGCCGGTGGAACTAAGTGTCAAAGCTTTAGCTGCAAGAGCTCTTAGGGTACTTGAACCATGCAGCTGCAGTTGTACGCCCATGCAGGTCCTTTGTTAGTGCCATCATCAAGGCAATGAAGAGTCCCCGCTTACCCCACCAGCGCACAAGGTTAGATGTGTCTAGCAAGGCAGACATCTTGAGGTGGAGACTTTTTGTTGCAGACTGCAATGGGGTGCCTATCCTTCCCCCTGCCCACCCTACTATTACGGTTGCTAGTGATGCTTCTGGCTCATGGGTTGTGGGCTTTCTCCCAACCTCAGGTGGAATGGTTCCAGCTCACTTGGCCTTCCTCATGGAAGGAGTTGAACATTGCTGCTAAGGAAATGCTGCCTATTGTCATAGTACCATATAAACAGTTTGCTAATGGATTTTACGACTTCTCATCATCACTATTGGAAGAAACACACGTGCCATATATGTGTATTGAGAGGAAACCCAGGAAAAGTTGTGAAGAGAAGGCAAAGATCTTGTTGAATAAGACCCGGTAGAACAGAAGAGTGTTGGGACAACTTCCTTAAAGACGTCGTACTTCCAGAAGAGTGGAATA